ATTTTGAGTTTCAGAACTTCAGCAGAGGCAATAAACAGATGTTTGGAAACTTTAGGCAGGACAAGGGGTGGGTTATTTGAAGACATACGTAGTTTGAGGTTTCTTTTTTATTATTATTTTTTAACCTTTGGTTTTATTCGATGGAGCTGCTGAAGGGGGAATCGCATTACTGGACTGAAGTTACAGATCATATACTCATGTAGAGCACCAGTCCTACTTTTTTAATTATGACATTTAACATTTCTCCCTCACCGCCCCCTCCCCCGCTTCCCCCTTCTTGGGAGTGATTGAGGATAGACACCATCCGGGTGTGAAACGCTGAAACATTTCTAATCCGCAGCGGGAGAGGGGAACACATGAGAATATTAGTTCACGACGGCTGACGTTTTTATTTTATTTTATTTGGGGGTGGGTTTGTGCTCCTTTCACTCCCCCCCGCCCCTAAAAATTCCTCTCTTTTTTGTTGTTGTTGTTGTTGTTTTTATTTTATTCCGTTTGTAGGACCGGCATGATGGAGTGCCCAGCCACAGTTCCAGGCTGTCCCAGCTGGGATCCGTCTCCCAGGGACCCTACTCCAGCGCTCCTCCGCTCTCTCACACCCCATCCTCGGATTTCCAGCCGCCTTATTTCCCACCCCCCTACCAGCCTCTTCCTTACCACCAAAGCCAGGACCCTTACTCCCATGTCAATGACCCCTACTCCCTAAACCCCTTGCATCAACCCCAGCAACACCCCTGGGGACAGAGGCAGAGGCAAGAGGTGGGATCAGAAACCGGGTCACTGCTGCCACAGCCTCGGGCCGCCCTGCCCCAGCTCTCGGGACTGGACCCCAGGCGGGACTACCACTCAGTAAGGAGGCCAGATGTCCTTCTGCATTCAGCTCACCATGGCCTTGACTCCGGCATGGGGGACAGCCTTTCTCTGCATGGCATCGGACACCCAGGGATGGAGGAGGTCCAGGTAAGGCACCGCGTTTCTTTCTCCTGGGCGATGCAGATGGAACCCCCATCCCTCGGCTAGAAATAGTGAGGAGTTTACAACAGTATTGGTGTGGGTTAACATCCTTGTTCTGCACTGGGATTATAATTGTGATACTCTCCCTCCATCGCCTTTTCTATTATTTATTTTTAATTTTTTTTTTAAAGCATAATTTATTTCATCGCTGTCACACACAGGCTCTGCTTTGTAAACCCTCCCCTCCATGGCAAGCCAGCAGAGTGCAGGGGGAAGGCAAACATGCTGCTCTAAATATTCCACGTGTTTCAAAAGCTGGCAGAGTTTAAGCCTGGCTTTTAAAATTCCAGCTATTTCCCACGCAATCTCACCTCCCCCCCCTCCCCAAACAATTTCCTGCAGTTCAAGGATTTTGATGAAACTGTCAAATTACTACATTTTTCATCCAGGAGGGAGGGAAAATATAAACAAAACCCAAACCAAAAGCAATAACCGGTGAGTAGGAACAAGACCCTCACTCCCTCTTGGTTTTGTTTTTGTTGTTTTTTTTTTTAAGGATAGTTGGTAGGCTAGCACTGATTTGAAATAGTTTTATTCCCTCTTTTGGGTAACAAAGGAGGTTCACCGGGCTCAAAGCACAGTATTTCCCAGCCTTCTTCCATCCCACGCGAAACTCAGCATCACGTGTTATTTCCTAAAAACAGAAAGGCCCTTAACAGCTTCGGTGCTGGGGTGCTTTGCACCTTGCTGGAGCAGGCCATGGCTCCAGGTGGGGACCCCCAAGCCAGAGGCCGGAGCCCCCAGGGGCCAGGTCCTGCATTAGGCTTTGTTAGATGGGATTTGGGGGTTCCCCTTCACTGTCTCTTTTTTTTTTTTTTTCAAATCTATGTCATGTATATCATATATATATCGTAAATATGTATTTAAACTTGGAATAAATAATGATATAGGCCACTGGATGAGATATAGACTTCAAAGTCACAGAAAGGGAAAAAGAGAAAGCTGAGGAGGCTAGAAGGGAAAAAAAATAGTCGTGAAAAAGGATCAGGCTGACCATTATAGAAATCAGCGGCAGAGAAGCAGGGGGGGCTGTATTGCATTGGCTGGAGGCTTGTCTTAGGGCTTCACGGGAAAATCTCTCAGCTTTGCTGGAGTGAGTTGCTTTAGAAATAGAAAGATTTGTCTGCTTGGGTTTGCTCCTGCCTCCAAGTTCAGTGGCCTTCGGGTCGCTGGTTTCTGCGGGTTTCCAAGCTGGTTTTGAGACCTGGTGACAGCCCCTGACCCCCACGGGCACGATGTGCAGGTCTCATCTCGTATTCCTGGCTCAGACAAACTGGCTTGCAGGTCAAGGCGAGTTTTACCTCCGTGAATGCAGAAAGGGGATGGCTCTCCTTGTTTCCCTCTACAATCGGCAGACGTTAAGTACTGTTCGTGCTTTGATATTTACCCTTTCCCCAAAGAAAAAACGATAATTTTGTGAGAAAGAGAACAAGAGAG